AGGCCAGTGCTCTGCCACTAGTGAAAGGCCAGTGCTCTGCCACTAGTGGAAGGCCAGTGCTCTGCCACTAGTGAAAGGCTCCACATCCCTTACCACAGTCTCTCTCAGGCAGGACACCAGAACAATCTTTTAGAAACAGTTAACAAAGCAATTGGAGAAATGGCACTGTCGCCTTCCATACAGTTGGCAGTTCAGAAGACTAAAGTGTGGGGAAGGCAAACTGTCACTGTGACAATACCGGCCTGTGTGTTCAAGTGGCATCCCTGAGCTGGAGGCTCCCGAAGCACTTCCACCTATGTAACTCAGGGGCAACTAACCTGGACACAACTGAAACAGGGGACACACAGCAATGCAAAGGGAAATAGTCATGTGAAGCTAAGAGCCCAGGGATAAACAAACAAGCATGGGAACTTCAAAGTCTACAAGCCTGAGAAGAATTCGTTCAAAGCCAGGCCTGGTGGCTGGCCTACAATCCTCACTACTTGACAGGCGAAGGCAGGAGACTCTAAGGTCTAAGACAGCCTGGGCTACAAGTGATTTCTAGGCCAAGTTAGTAAGGCTTTGTCTCAAAATAAAATTTATTAATAAAAAAGGCTACTAGTACAGCTCAGGACAGTCCTTGCTTTGCATATACAAGACCCCAGGATCAGTCCCCATCATCCTCAAAACAAACCAAAAACCTCTTGCGATTATTCAGGATATGAAAGTATGTAATGTTCTCTCTGGATTACAAAGTGACCCCAGGCCCCTTTACTGCTGTTTACTGAAGAGCCTTGCAGCAATGCAGGTGCATACATGCCTGCATGGCCATCCAATTAGAATCTTAGGAGGGCCAAATGGATGTGTAACAAGATCTGCTCAGATCTGCTGTGTTTCAGGAGGAACGGGAGGTGGGAAAGGAAGGCTGAAAACCAAGAAGACTGAAAAAATGAGGAAATGTAGAATGGAAAAGATCTTTAACTCAAGCCTTTTAAAAGGTCTGGGGGTAATCTATGGCTTTCTGGAAATAACAGGAGTCAAGTTACACCTGTCTACCTCTGCAGTTGGCAGGGTTCAAATGCATTTGTAAAGCTGTTCTGAATTGCTGCTTGAAACCGGGGAGCCGGGGAGCCAGGAATCTTGGGTGATGCTGCTGGGTTCCATTACAGCTGGGGGAACATGTGAAATCTCAAGTCTTTTGTGCCTCAAGATCCCACGTCAGGATTCTGTAGCGCTCCTGGAAGAAAAGTCATGACAAAGCCCGGGCTGGGGGTAAGGTGTGCACAGCAGGGCTGCCAGGCGGATTACTCTCAGAGTAGAACACCCAGTCCCACAAGTACGCTGTCAGACAGCCTGTACTTCACGTTCCCACCCCAAAAGGGAGAGTTATGGTAAGTATCAAACTCAACACAGCAGGGTGAGAGCTGACCTAGATGCTAAAGTTATTCAAGATATAACCTCTGGTGGTAAGCAATGTCAGTATTGCCCACAGAGGCAATGTGGAACGGTGTGCTTCATAAAGCGTAACTACTACCATCCCTGCTCACAACTTCCCAGACATAGAAATAGAAATACAACCTCAGAGTGCCAAATGTAAAATCAAAACCTTATAAAAATAGATTTACTGGCTTGTATGCACACAGGCTATCTCTGGGAGGAAAAAAAAAGAGTTGGAATAGCAGAAACAACTGATGCAGAGGGAAGGAAGGAGGGTGGAGGGCAGAGAGGAGCCTCGCCACCGCCGACTCTGAGGCACCTGAAGCAGCAGACCCAGGCGCCATCACTCAGGGTGAGCATCTTCATGTAACACATACAGGAATGACCTAATGATTTATCAAAGTTTTTTTTTTAATTATGCTTTTATTTAATCTCAGGATTTATAGTTTCTATGAAAAAATTCAATGGGCTTTTGGGGGAGGCACGTAGAATATATAGTATTCTAATAACTTTAAAGAAATGAAGAAGGAAGAAAAGAGAAATAGAACAGAAGATCAAACAGAGGTTGGTAGTTTTGTAAAAGCTGGTGAAAAATGTGGGAGTGCGCATACCTGAGCCTAGGAGTGACCTGCAGCAGTGGGACCAGGAGAGGAATGGAGGTGGACCTGCAGGTGACCCGGCCACCAGGCCCTACAGCTCCTCCCTGCTCCCTCACAAAGGCAAACACAAAGCGCCACTCTGGACTATGGACCATACACAGGGCTTGCAGGGACTTCCTGGCATGCCTTTGTCAGCCAAATGCAATTACACAACCATACCAGGAAGCAGAGGTGAACTCAGGAGCCTTGGGAACTTTGGGCGATGAGGTCACCAGGACTGGAGACCAGCAAAGAAGATCTTCCCTGGTGGAGTACTCTGGCTAGTTTCACTAGTATGGAAACAGTCAGTGGCTGGAGACCAGAGTGACACTTTAGAAGAAATAAATACCACCTGTCCTAGCCTAGGGTGCAGCTGGACCTTCAAGAAGAGTTTCCATAAGTGGAAACTATCTTTGATTTGCACCCACTTACATACAGTCTCAACCACTATTAGAAGTAGGGACCACAGTGGCCCATCTCACTGAGGAAGCAGAAAACCACCCTCTGAAAGCGCCTGCCCGTACTGACTCCACGAGAAAAAGACAAACCTTGGCCGAGGCTTGCACCATTCACCATCCGGTTCTCTTGGTTAGAGATGCTTCACACCAGTGGTGTTTCCCTCCATCTACATGCCTGCTTCCCTCAGAGGACAGACTGACAACGGGACTCTCTCACAAACTGTTGGGAGGAGGAAAACAAACACACGCCTTTCATGTTCTCTGTGACTTCTTTTTGACCGTCACCAAATCATCCCGAGGAGGCCGATGTGCCTGTTCATTATGTATTAAGTAGGTACTTTCACAGAGCAGTTTCACTTAGTGAGACTCAGTGAAGTTCCATGTACCAGAGGCTGAATCTGTATTGAGCACTACAGAAAGGGAGAAGGAAGAAAATTCAAACCCTGACTTCCGGGCGTTTCCCACGTATTAGAAGGAAATACATGGGGTAATACGTGTATAAACAAGTCACAGAGAAAGAGTAAACTGGGGGTAGGAGAGACTGTTCAGTAGTTAAGAGCACTTCCTGTTCTTGCAGAGGACCTGGGTTCAGTTACCAGCACCCATGCAGTGTCTCCCAACTGTCTCTAACTCCAGCTCTGAGGGAGCCAGTGTCTCTTTTGACCTCCAAGGGCTCCTGCACACATGCAGTGCGCTCGCTCTCTCTCTCTCTCTCTCTCTCTCTCTCTCTCTCT